AGGAAGGACAGTAACTGTTCCCAGGCTACAGAACGCCAGTAAAAACAGAGGAGAAAAACCCACCACGGTTATGACCCTATGTTAGACAACACAGTTGTTTCACACAAAATTGGAAAACTGGCCACACAGGAAGAACTCTTTCAGGTGAACAAGCTGTCAACGTGAAACCATGTATTTTTGAAAACCGAAATGTTGGCTCCTCAAGGTTACCATAAGACCAGGTCAAAGGAAAGACCTACCAAGGCTTTAATGGTCTCTGTAGCATGTCCTAAATCTTTCTGCATTGGATGGGCTAGAAGTTCATTATTAGAAATGGAACTAAATTACCTCACAATACAATAAAATAGCAAGTTTATTACCATTACAGGGAAATCACCCTGCAATATATAACTCAAGTTCATGTATTTTTAGGCAAATCAACACGAGATATGTTAGATATGAAACCTTTTGCAATGGGGAGCTGTTAGCTGATTAGAAAAGTGGAAAAGAGCAAGAGTAAAACCAGAAACTGGAGCCAGCCTTATCAGTGGTCATTCTGTTCATCTGAACTGTCTTCAATATCGTTCCAGCCAAACTAGTTTTTAATACATGTATAGACAGAAACAATGCTCTGATGAAACAATTTCAGAAAATTTTTTAGCTAGAAGAAAATGTCATACCATATATATAAATACTGTAACATAAAGTCACCACCACTTTTTGAAAGCCACCTCAAACAAAGCCTTTGCACTTATTTATCTTTAGAAGTTCAATACTCAGCACTCACAGAGAAAAATATATCAAATATATATCACACCCTTAGAATTTTACTGCACATGGGCTCTATACGTTTGACAATCAAAGACACTGCAGATAGAAGACAGAAAACCAAATCAGCATAGCCAGAACTCAAAAGGTTTTGGTTTCCAATATCAGTTCAGATTTCCAGTAGGCAATTCAAGCAGCACAGCAGCATCTATTTTAGTGTACATGTTTTCTTGTGATAAATTTCTTTTCAATTGATTTTAAAAGTGGTGCTATCTGCTTTTCAAGTAAATCTGAAAAAGTGCAATGATCTGTATGATGCTCTTCAGGTTAGTAATAGAATACAAGGGTTCGTCTTCTTAGCTGTAAGCATGCAGAACATGCATGTGCTTGGAATTAGTACCATCTTGCAGAATTGTTGGATTCACATTAAAAGGTGTCATGTGTCTCACTACTACATACCTTTTCTACATACAGAAATCTCCAAATCTCTACAAGTTAAAATTGTAGAGATAGAATGTACTCCTAATGTTCCATGTAACTGAAAAAGACTATTAAAATATTTTAGCTATGATCTTGGCAATACTGATATCAAGACTGTACTTACTGTCAGATAGAGGAATATTTCTGAGTATATAGAAGGGATGCCTAGAAAATTGCTTTGGATACCTATAACTACTCTTAAAAGACAAATTTTAAAGCGTTCAAATCATTACAGAAGGTTAAGTCCTATTTTTAAAACAACAGAAAGAGCGTAATGTCTACTGCTCAGAATGGTTTTTAACATGTTTTTGTAAATCTGGGTTCTGTTATTGTGCTCTGGGAAGTCTGTAGGCAGGACCTACAGACATCTTGAGCAGTCTGGTCTGTAGGGACAACAGAGAGAGTCCAAGGACTGCCACTTTTAGCCTTCACTGCATATTCTAGATGATTTTGTGCAGTGCCCATATTTAAGACTGAATTTCCTTAGGGTAGCCAAGCAAAAAGCCTGGCTGATTACCTGAAAAGTACAAGCTGCGCCTGCTACAGCTAAATTAATGGTTGGCAAAAGGCTGAAAAAGAACAGATTAATTTGAAAATTAAAAAGCTAGCATTACAGTCATTTACAGCCAAGCTAAAATTAGTGCAGTGAAAAGAAAACAGGAGATGTAGGACACAGAATTTCCCAAGTGCACCGTGGGCTTGCTCCTGGCTGGAGCTGCTGGGCACACCCAGCATTAAGCCCCTGGCAGGCAGTGCTTGCGGCGAGAGGATGAAGAGAGCCGTGTGAGGATGAAGAGCACTGTGCACACACAGCTGGGCCCATCTGGAAAAACTGTTTTTGATTTTGAGCTTGGTAGCAAGCCAGCTGTGGCCAGGTTCCTTGGAGGGTAGGCTGAATAGTCATTCACAGATGTTTCAGGATAAAAAGAGAAGGCTGGTCACCGCAAATAAATTGATTTGCTGCCGTAATCCTGCTCAACAACATTCTCTGAGGGGCTGGATCAATGTATCTACACGCACAGACTTGGACCATTGGTACTTGGCAGGGTTTATGAGCTCAGCCTGGGTGCTGCACTACCGCCTTTACATGCCTGCTGGACCACAGCTGGCTGGTGTCCCGACAGATCAGGCTGTGGGCACGGCGGGGGCTGCAGCTGCCTGCACTCAGCCACGGCAATGCACCTTGAGGAGAACACAGCCTTTGCTATCCTCAGCTCTGCAAGCAACAGAGAACAATGGAAAAGTCAAAGTATGCTGTGATTACACGTTGGATCGTGATTTCTTCTCACGAAGGCCCATCAGGCTGTGGAGTTTCTAGTTACATTAACAAAACCACCTTTCAGTGTCTTGCCAAAATTGCAAAATTCAACGGGAAGGAATCTGGAGGAGGGCTCCTGCAAAAGTGATTCATCCCTTTGGCTTTTGCATATTAGGAAATAATCTTTAGATTCATGATCATAAACTGTATGTATCCCAAGGTCAGAGTTTCTCTCAGTGCATAAGATGAATAGAATGCAGAACTCTGTACTTTAAATGAACACGTTCCTAAATTTAAAGAAGAAAACACAACTTTTTGCTGATTTCAATACTTGAAAGGTCAGATTTGTGCCGTAAAGGATCATAATTCCCATCAATACACTGATGTTTAAGCATTTTATTTTAAAATATCCCCTTCATGTGCCATTCCTCTGTACTGCCATCTGTACATATGCCTCCTCTGACAAAAAGGAGATTTTTCAAATGCACAAGAGGTGGTTAGATGCTGACACTAGCCTGCAGCACTTCAAATCTCTTCTTCTGAAATCCAAGACTGAAAACTAATTCACAAACCAAATGGGATGAAACTGTTTAAAATATTTAATAGCCTTGAAAAACAGCTGATATAGATACTCTTTCTATAGTGCTCAGCTAAGGAAGGATTTAATTGTATGTTGAAAGCATACCATGTACCATGTACTTTATGGGAAAGAGAAGGCCAATCTCTGAGAGTAAAAATGCGAAAAAATTAGCTTTGGCCACCATCTACAGCTGCAGGAAAAATGTGATTTCAGTATTGCTAGTGTGTTTCTATGTTAACCACTGTTTGCTGAGTCCAACTGAAATTCTCTATTTTTAGCCTTTCAGCTACTTTCAGATAAAATTCCTGCAGATAGGACTAGCTGTATAGGGCAGATAACATACAGCTCTGAAACCACAGATGACCTCATGCAACTGCAAAGAAAGAAGGGTCTGTTACTTAAAACAAGGCTAAAATTTAACCCTGTTACACTAAAACTATACAGGGAGTGTTTTACAGTCCCATTACAAGACATAAAACAACAGTCACTATAAATTCACAGTGTACTTATTTGTAGGGATGTAAAAAAGGGCAATTAATAACCCCCAAACAGCTTATCTCTGAGCCAGTACAACACCAAAGCTTTCCCAGGCTCACTGGAGCACTGAGAAGCTGCTTTAGCTGTCATTTGAGAATTATTTGTTCAAACTGAAAAGTCATCGCTCTCTGTCACAAGTCACAAGACATTTTCTAGTGTTCCACACTTTCAGTTGACATTATGGAGAGAAAATAAATAAATGTAATGCAAACTTTCTGGAGAGGGTTTCCATGTGTAAGCACACATACTAACCACAGATCTGAGGGAGCACTGCACAGTGATTCTTCCATACCTTCCTGTATTCTACTTCACCCTTTCTATGTGTCCCCCTATATACCATTTCCTTTGAAATGCCATTATTTCCAGTAGATTGATGTACAGTTCTAAGTACTCTCATTTAAGTTTATCTGAATATTTAAGGAGAAATGCATAAGGAGTGGGTATGTCACAAGTGAATCAATCAACACAGACCAGGGTGCTCAGTTTGCATTCCCTGGAATGTGTTTTAGCTTACGGAATATTTGTTGGATCTTTCTTCAGAACAAATTCTTCATGAGGTTATCACAGTTCCCAGTTGTGAAAGAAACACTCTGAAATCTCTTTTCCTCAAGAAAAAGTTCAGTGCTTAATAATGAATGAAGTTCAGATACATGAGTGAAATAATCCTGCAATAAAGAAATTCTTTCACTCCCTCACCAAATCACTGCAAGAGATCAGTAAAGGATTCAAACTATTTCTCTTAACTCTTCCTTTCTTTTCTTAACACCAGTGTAGGCAAACCTATATTTTTAAAAAATGACATAGCCTGTACCTGCCATTAAATTTTTCAAGCACATCCAGCATTGAAATAAAGGGTTACAAAGCACTTAACTGTTAATTTGTGATTATAGAACAGGTTTGATTTTTCTGGATTCATGTCACTTGAAAGGAGAAATTTCATTTGTCATAAGGAAAGAAAACCAGGACGGAACAAGGTTTGCTGTTTCTCTCTCTAAGGAATTGTAGGTGGACTTATATAAACAACAGAGCAACGATCAAAGGAAAATCTTAGGGACCATAATATACTGAGGTATTAAAGGAACAGAGCCTTTTATCTACTGTGGAGGAAGGAAGTAAAGCATTGAGACATATGTAATATATGCAATTAAAAATAAAAAAACCCAAGGGAGTCCCAAAAAAGACTGAAATCAACTCAAGTCTGTTTTTGTCTTTCTTACTCTGTTAAAATGACAAGTAAGAACCAAAAATGCAATCTACCACAAAAATTACGCTCCATCACCTAGAAAAGCCAGGCTTTCAACTCTATTTTAAGCTGAATTTTCCTCCACATCCTATGAAACAAGCACTGTTCGATCACAAACCATGCCCTCATTCACTGACAGTTCAACTGAGGCTTACCTTGTCCTCCACTCTGTTCAGCCTGGCACCAATCGTGTTATTTCCTCGATCTTTGCTTTTCTCTGTGGAACAAGAAACATTTTCAACTTAATATATGGTGGTGTAACAAAATAGCAGCTAGCCACAACAGGGTGTGTTTAACCAGGCCACCAACACTGTGTAACTGAATACCTTTGCCAGGCTGATAGATCTATTCCTTAAAAGTAGTTTTTATTTCTTTTTATAGCACTGGCCCATGCCATAGCATTTAATTGCCCTTAAGTTTAAGGTATGTTCAACCTTAGTTTTAATGCTTTAACCAGGGAGAACAAAAATGTTCCCAATTTAGTTAATGTTTTAATTGCCACTTAAAAACAATCTGCCACTGCACAAAGGACTCTACAGACAACTTGAAATAACAC